CTGTCTGTTGTCTAATCGCTGGCGAAAGGGGATCGACTGGCGGCCGTGCCCTAACACAGTGAACTCAGTGGGTTTTAGGAACTGGGGCTCACCTATTCAGGGCCCGACATTACAGCTGCTGCTGCTGCTGCTGCTGCTGCTGCTGCTGCTGCTGCTGTTGGCAATGATGGTGATGATGATGATGGTGCCGCGCTTTGAGGCCCCTTAGACATGTGCCCCAGCGTTCGACTCTACAACTCAAGATTGTTGCTCCTCTCAGTTTTCGGGTCTCGGGCAGTCTGGGGTTTGTCATGTCAAGATTCGGTCTGATTCTTGGCTGTATCGTTGCCCCAGAATGACAAAGCCCCAAGCTCTAAACCCTACTTGGAGGATCACGGGACTTAGTAAGTAAGGTTATAAGTACCTTAATTGGGGTTATAAGTAGTTATAAGTATAGTTACCTTACTTATAACCCTAGTTACTAAGTCCCATGATCATTTAAGTAGACCTTGAACCAACGACACCAGACAGACATCTCGCCAACCAGCCCATACTGGCAGGCCTACACCTGCGAACAGAGACCTTTCGAGAGAGAGAGAGAGGTACATAGATGTATCCACATATGTGTGATATGTACACATGCACATATACATGTGAAGCTGAAATGCATAGCAGAATCATTCCTCTGACGACTTTGGGGACTAGCGGGCACATTTCGCTTGTCAGATGCTGGAAGAAGTGCTCTTCACCGCCTGATAGAAAGCTTCGACTCTCTTGTCTTTGAGTCCGAGGTCATATTCATGATCGTCATGTCCGCAGGCATCTTCTGCAGCGAGCTGAGTATACGGCTTTGAGGTTTACTCCCCAGGCCCACTCTCCTGCAAAAAGCCCCAAGGCGACTCCCTCTACGTGTTTCTAGCTTTACTTGGAGGTTCGTGGGTAGTTACTCGTGGGGTTACTATACTTATAACTCATATTAGGGGACTTATAACCCCACTTGTTACTACCCATGAACCTCCAAGTAGGGCTTAGGAGTTCAGGGCTAATCCAACACTCCAAATCCAAAAATGCGCTGAACCCTCGGCACAAAGAGAAGTGGTGAATCCCCACCACATGCACGCCATGATAACTGAGCGCTGCCATGTTCACATAGCAGTTGAGTACGTAGGCTTCTTTCAGGGGGATTATGTAAATAGTAACTGAAAAGTCTTGTGGTTTATGGGCTGGTAAACAAAGTTAGCTTTCCCCATGCAACTATTTAAGTATACATAATGGCAAAACCTGAACTCTACACCCCAAAACCCCCTTTTGCATTGGCATTTTCTTGCCGTGTAAGTTCACCCGCCCCAACTCAGAATCCGACCTCGGACGCCTCCGACTGAGGTCAAGCCAAAATGGAAGACAAAACACATTGGGACTGCTACAAAGCGCTCAACAAAATGACTGCTGCTTGGCTAGCATGCCTCAGGTTTTGGTGGTAGGGTTAAGGGCTTCCGCCACCGATGTAAGTAGTACGCTGAACTCTATAGAACCTCCAAACCAAAACAGTGATTATTGTGTTCGACGTGCACCAGATTTGCAGAGGCGTCGTGGGGAACTTCCTTCTCGCTCAGGCTCATTGCTTTGCTTCTCTTAGGCATGATTAGTATTGCTACTACTGTGACTATCACTGCTGAATCAAGGACTACCCTACAGTTGTATCGTGCAACAAGGTGCAAAGACCCCCATCTCAATCATTTGCAGCCCTCCCCCCCCTCCCGTGGGAGTGTCATTTGGAAGCTTGAGACCGGGCCGGGTTTGGGGTTCAGGCACCTGACCCGGCGCGAGCTCCGAAAGCCAGCCATGCATTTTCGATTGCGATGCTTGCTTTGCGGTGAACCAGCCCTTCCGAATGTTGGTGTTTTGTGCGAACCCGGCGTGGCCCGTCCCTAAACCCCAAACCGTATATGGGAGTTTCCGAAAATAGGGGACCCTACATAATATAGTACCCCTAAATAGTATGATCCTTATTATAAGGACCCCAAAATATAAGGTACCCCTAATTTTCGGAAACCGTCATATTAAGGACGAAAGACTCTTTGCGCTGTAGGGCCTTGAATCTTGGACTTCTGCCAACCAGGCTCAACGGTAAAAGACTTCGGGTTAACCTGGTCCTTAAAGCATCTTGAACCGAAGACCCCGATGCAGACGTGGACTTGCGATGTAGCTTGGATCATAGAGATGAGATGGGAGTTTCCGACAATTATTTTGGGGTCTTTTTGATAAGGATCCTACTACACAGAGTACAAATTTAGTGTCCCCTATTTTCGGAAATCCCCATATGGGTTTGCATAGTGATGACAACTTACGTGGTTCCTCCGATCAGACTCCTTTGCTGCGCAGCCCAAATGCGCTAGTTCAATGAAGTATTAAATTCTGCACAGCTACGAAGTGTAGCTGTATAACAGCTACAGTAGCACATTTTGCGATGATTGAGACTTTGGACCTTTTCCTAAGCTTAGTAAGTGCAGCAAGCTTTGCAAATTGACGGCAGGTAGTTGAAAACCGTGTTCCTCTCGAGTAATCCAAGGGGACCACAGCCGTCTTTGACACGGTGCCACAGGCAGGTCTGGGACAAGACGTTAGGTTTTCGGAATCCCGGGAGTTTAATGATGTAGGGGTCGGAGTTATTCCGCGAGCCCCTCTATGCAATTGTAGGCAACTTTAATAAACAATACCCAATACCCCAGGACCTCTTCTGACGATCAAAGTCCTTAAGTTATGGAAAGTTAACGATTCCACGAGTTGACCTTCGGCCTTTTTCGAAGCGGGGTGGTTCTGCAAAAACTGGTTTGGCAATAATGCAGGGGTGAGTAGTAGGAGTTCAACACTGTAGTCTGTTGTGGGGGGGATGCCTAGTTCGTATTTATACACAGTATTTATACACACATGTGCGGTGAGGGGTACGAGGTCAACACCGTAGGCCGTTGCGCCTTGACGTGTAGTCAGTATACACGCGTTTATCTATATCTGTACCAGACGATCCCGTGATTAGAATCCCTATGACTAACAGAGATAGCCAGATTTCAAGAAGGCCCCATGTGTTAATGGGAGAGACCAAGGAGCCTGCATGACCCGGCGCCTTAGTAGGGCCCTAAACTCCTAAACCCTGATTCCCAAAGCCCTGCATTTCAAGCCCTAAGGACATGTTGAACCCGATGCTAGCGGTTAAAAAAGGAACGAAATCTTGCTATGCGACGCCGAAATGAAACCTCTGTGTGTGTGTGTGTGTGTGTCTGTGTGTGTGTGTGTGTGTGTGTTTGTGTGTGTGTGTGTGTTTGTTTGTTTGTTTGTTTGTTTGTTTGTTTGTTTGTTTGTTTGTTTGTTTGTTTGTTTGTGTGTTTGTGTGTTTGTGTGTCTGCGTGTCTGTGTGTTGTTCGGCTTAAGATAGGCAGCTGCGAAGCACTCAGCGTTGACACGGCTTACCTTGACCCGAAATAGCCTTTTTTGTTTAGGGCTTCTTTTGGAGCTTTGCCGACATCCGTCCTTAAAAGGAGGTTCCTTACAGTAGGGTCCGGGTGGAGCGCATGACCTTGCCCCAGGCCATCCTGGCCCTAGGTATATGGCTTAAATATAGCTGTTATATACCCAGTCTATGGCCCGTTAGAGGGTAGCTATCCCCATTCAGGGTCCCTCCAGTTGCCCTTTGATATCAGGCACAGCTGGTGGCAAGATTCTAGTTCCCAGTCCCTCAAGCCTGAAGCGAAACTGGATTGTCATCCAGCCATCAGCTGAAACACTTACCAAACCTTCCATTCTTCACTTGTTTAGAGCTCATGTTTGATGTTTAGGTTCATGGCACCCTGAGCCCTCTGAGAACTCAGCCTTGTCTTGTGAGCTTCAGGCCTGCGTAATGGGCGCCAATGCCGAGGGTGATGCGACGGATAATGGCGACTTCCTGAAGGGCATGTTGTATGCTCCATGGCTCATTTGCTTTTACTATTTAAGGTATGATCGCCCCTGGAACTGAAACCTAGCTTTGGCCATTTGATGGCTTTGTGGTTCCGCTCAAGAAGTCGACTAGTATTTGGTGTTCCCGACCGATGATGCAGCGAACACACACAGACGATAATAGCTCGAAATACACTGCCCTTTCTAGGGCCTGGTAGTGATTTCAAGCTCCGAAGAAGACGTATATAGCTTTTAATTATTTTAGATTGTGCATGACCCGAGGACTCCATGTACCCATATAGCAAGCACTTAGGCCTTCAAGGGGTCCCTATATGGGTACTTTAAGGCCTAATTTACCTACGATATGGGTACATTAGCCTTTGGGTGATCCTGTAAACCCTAAACCCTAAACCCTAAACCGCTGTTTCGCTTAACCACTTAAGAGACTTCCAGGCCCCTACTGAGGCCATGATTACCGAAAGCGCTACATCCCACATCAAGGCTCATCCGAACCAGGACCCCCCAATGGCCCTTTAATGGAGCCCTTGATGGTCATTAATAGTGGGTATTTGGGGTATCTTAGCAGGTAGTTGGGGGGTCTAAGAAAGATCTCCTAACCATAAAGCCTAAACCCTAAGCCCGGGACCTTAACTGCAAGGCGGAAAAAGGCCCTTAACAAATATATATATATATATATATATATAACCTAAGGCCTGAACCCCACACCATAAATCCTAAACCCTTAGCGTTTTAAACATGACACCTCATAAAAAGTTGCAGAGGTTTCAGAAACAAAGGACCCGGGAGCTCGAAAACCGTACGAACTCACGTCCCGCTGGCAACCGGCGCCACCCCAAACCACGAGATTTGCACACCTTGAGCTCTAAGCCCCTGAATTGCCACACCTCCCTAATGTGTAGTTTTGCTTACCGTTCTTTGGGTTAAGTTAAGAGAATCTTATGTAGGCGCCTGGATGACCTACTTGCCAGAGGCTTGAAAAGGCTGACTGAAGCCCTGAGGTGTAGTTCCAGACTCACAAGCCCTTGAAAAGGTCATAACGGTTGATGATATAAATCCTGCATGTTCCATAATAAGGAATATACCATAATTCCCATAGTTTAGGATCTTTAAGGTAATGCAGGATTTATATCATCAACCGTAAGTACCCATGTAGTAGAAGGAAGGGTTTCTGTATTAGGAATGCTCAATATAATTCGGGAAAGTGTCCCCCCGTAGCAGCACCCAGAGCCCTTTGGGGTAGCTCAGGTCTTTATCTACCTGATTCTCAGTGACTGTGGGTCGATTGCCACAGCCGCTCAGCCGTTTGTTGTATTGGGGTTTAGGGTTTAGGGAGGGAAGTCGTGGCTTTCGGATGATGGCGGGGCTACAGAGAGTGTTAGCTTGACGTACGAACTAGGGGCATAATATAGGGGCCTTAATAATTACCTATAATGTTATTGGGGATGCCTTTTTAAACATAGGACATAGTATAATATACCCCAAAACCCTGTTCGAATTATTAAGGTCCCGTGTTGGATGCACGGCTTGAACTCTTGGTGGGATCGCCGACTGGATAGTTCGATTGCTTGCAGTTTGAGGGATGAAGCACTAAGGGTCCATGTGCCCAAATAGGGCTCCTTTAATAATTCCTTCCAAGGGTTCGTACAAGGGTTACTAGAAGGATTCTATAGGTTTGGGGCTTCAGGGTCCATGTACCCAAAGAGTATATACATTGGCCTGAAAGTAGTCCCTATTTAGGTACTTTGGGGCCAATGTATATGCTATTTGGGTACATGGACCCTTAGGGAAAGTTCTGCTGTGTTCTCGTCAAGGAACTTTGCTTTACTTTATGTAAGCAACCATAGTACAGACATGAACCAAACACTGTGCTTATCTGTGCTTTCTTGCTTATGGTATCTTCTAGATGCAATCATAGCTTGACAACTAGCGCCCCTGATAGTTGATGAGCGGAGACTAGAGCCTGAAATCGAAGGGTTCAAGTCTGTGTGCCCCTGAAAAAGGTGCGTCCGTTTGCGCATGTATCCGGCCTATCCGTTGTCTATCGCCGTTTTGTGTCCAGGTTTCCAGCCTGTGTTTAGGACTTGGGTTTTTGGGCGTCTCATGCATGCAGTATACCGACATGACTCGGTGCTCTGTTGGCCCCACACCTAGAAACCCCGTTCACTCCTCAGAATTCCCGGTATCGAAATACTGAAATAGTAACTTGGAAGCAATAGCGCAGCCGCTGTGACATGCAGGAGCGTTTCCTCAATGACGAAGATTCGTTCCTTCGAGCGGCATTCTAGTTCAGGGTTTAGGGCTTAGGGGCATATGTGTGTCACTACCATGATTACTTGCTTGACCTTGTTTCACTTCCGCATTGTTTGTTTCGGGGTTTCGAGTTTCGAGATCAGCAAAATTTTGTTGAGGTAGTCTACTGTTGAACTGGCATGTTTCGGTGCTGTACTGTACAGGCATAAGCCAACACGGTACCGTAAACTCTAAACCACAGCTATTTGTGAACTCGCTCCTACGCCACAGAGTCCTACGATCGTTTCAGCTGAGACGGAGACTCTGGATACAGACCCATACAGTATATTACATAGATTTTGCTCTGATATGCGACCATATACGGTAGCATACCATAATACACTGTAACATATTACCCTAAACCCCTGAACCCCCAAAACCCCTAAACCCCTAAGCCCTAAACCTTTAACATGCTATAAGTTGCTACAAGACCCTAAACCCTAAACCATAAGACACACACAAAGCCCCTTCAGCTCCCAAAGGGTGCTATGTACTGTGATGGGGGATACTTCCCCAAATCATAATAGTAATTCCTTCTATAGAAACCCTACATTCTACTATATAGGTACTTTGGACCCTTTGGAGCTTTCAGTCGAGGCCATACTACTTGCAAAAGACCTGGTTGGAGGTTGGCGGCCTGCCTTGTCGCCTGGCTCAGCATTGATTCCCATGTTGGAGTTTCCAAAAATACGGGGTACCTTATTTTGGGGTCCTCATAATAAGGACGTTTCTATTGCGGGTACTATCGTAGGGTCCCCTATTTTCGGAAACTCCCATGTCTACCTTGGAGGTTCATGGGGTAGAAAAAAGGTGTTAGAAGGGGTCCCATAAAGAGATCAAAAGGGACTCTATGAGGGTCTAGGGTTTAGGGCCTACTTGGAGGTTCATGGGTAGTTATAAGTGGGGGTTATAAGTAGGGTAACTATGCTTGTAACTCATATTCGGGGACATATATATATATATATATATATGGTAACTCATATTCGGGGACATATATATATATATATATATATGTATATAGCCCTACTAAAAAATACTACCCTTGAACCTCCAAGTAGGCTTCCCCATAGGATAGAGGGAGGCATGCTGGCTAAGGTGCACAGCCGGCCCCTTTGAGCCCCTCATAAAGCCAAGTCCCCTGGTTAAACCCGGAACCCCCCTGGTCTAGGGTCTAGGGTTTAGGGTGGGGACCCCCCCGCTCCCCCCTGCAATTTGGGTGTCTTCATCCCCATGATTTGGACGAGTTGTTGCTGTCTTCATCCTCTGGGAAGTATAAATGCCTCCCGTAATGGTCCTTATAGATGATACTATGAGATGCCACCCCGTCACCCACCCTGTTTTGTTGGCAACGGCCCCTGCATTTTATCACTCCAGGGTCAGCTTTATTTTTCATTGCCACACAACCTGCGAAAGTCTAGCGCATGAAATGCTTAGGTTTTTAGGGCGCAGCGTTCATGGTTCGGGGATCAGGTTCCTGTTTCACCCAGATAGGTGGCGATCCAGGATACTTGTGAGTTTGCCTGATGGTCTTGTAGAAATACCGATGCGCCGCTATATATTATGGTTCAAGAAGAAGAGGAACCTTGCCCATTCTCTTCACAAATCTTCTTCTTCAGACCAGTGTCATTCCTGCGCAGGTCGAGGTACCAATGACCGTTTCTGTCGCGATGCCAAGTCTAAGTACCTACCAAGCCTTTGGAGTTGATGGTTTTGGGTTTCGAGGAAGATAAGCCCAGGTTCTATTGCCATGTCCTTTGTGGTCCCACTGACCCTGCAGTTCATAGGCGCTCCGCGTCGCTGCACTGTCCAGGTGTATTGGAAGTTCAAGGTTCATAGCTAACGGTTTAGGGTTTAGGGTTTAGGGTTTAGGGAAGGTCGGGCTATGACTACCTTATACTACCTATAGTCTCCATTGCAGTTCCTTTTTTTGGTTATCCAGTTTTATGGTTAGGATCCTATAATAGAGATTTTGGTTAACCAAAAAAGGAACTACAATGGAGGCTGATTCATGAAGCCTATCCATAAGTGCAGATCTACGGTTATGGAGGGCTTAAAGTAGTGGCTGAAGGTACGAAAGGTGGGTTTTTGTAGGGACCAGGTGCGCCCGAGGAGTTTCTCCAAGCCGGACTCCCCAACGACCAGGACGCTTGTAATCCAAGACGGAAAAGTCTGAACGGCTTGTGTGCCAGGCCCTAGCCTTATAGACATATAATTATACATAAATATGTATTTATAGACATAGATGTACATATATATGTATATATGTATATGTATAGAGACCTTATGAAGACATGCAGACACTTCTAGCCCCTCGACTTCTCTAGATAGAATCCCAGACCTGATCCTCAGCCCCACGCCGGGGGCGACTTTGAAGCACTCAAGCCCGGAGCACTCACGCCTGGAGACAGGAAGTTTCAGCGATGATGCTCAGCTGCACCCCGAAACTTCAAAGTAACTTGACCTAAACCCTAAACCCTAAACCCTAAGCCCTAAACCTAAACCCTAAACCCTAACCCGAGTTTGGGGGTCGTTTCCTGGAGCCGGAACCCCGAAGCCACCACCCCAGAACCCCAAATCGATATTCCTCATCCCGACAGGCCCGAAAACGGATGTCTGAGTAGCTACCCAGAGGCTCCAAAGTAGTTCCCTTTTGGGTTTACCTTATAGGATTCTAAATATGAACCCCAAAAAGGAACTACTTTGGAGCCTCAGGGTATTTTTGATGTTTCCTGTAACAAGCAATGCCAGAATACTAAGCCCGACACCCGCAGGCCGAAGCGTCGGTGAGGCCAGAAGCTTTCATGCACGAACAAACATATGCTTGAAAGGGTTGGAATGGGACGGCATCCAAGCTCCACTGCCCACAAAACGATGAACCATCAACGGAAACCCTAAACCCCTAAAGCCTAAACCTCAGTACTCCTGAACATCTGAAGTCCATGTTCATGCAACCCCCCTTCAAAAGTCCGGGTCAGCTCAGGACGGTATAGATCACGGACCGCCACCCAAATGGCCAGCTGGATGCAATGAAGCAAGCAAGACCCATTGCTTGAAGTTGGGATCTTCAAGCCCAGCAGTTTTATGCACTTAAGAATCACATACTGTATTCCATCCCAACAATGTTCACCTACACTACTTCTATCCTGACCCACAATACCTATATAGTACTGGGTCCTTTGAACCTTTCGGATTAGACCTCCCTCAGTCCTCACCTGCCAAATCTCAAAGCTCATAGCCTCTGCACCCTTAACAAACCAAGCACAACACATGGACATACCGTATGTATGTATGTAACATGTACGTAATGTATGTATGTATTGTATGAAAGTATGTAATGTATGTAATGTAATGTCATGCCACTTCATGTCATGTCATGCCATTTCATGTAATGTGATGTAATGTCGTGGTATGCATGTATGTATGTATGCGTGTATATACGTATGTATGTAGATATGTATATGTGTAATTATGTATGTCATCAGTCTGTCTGTCTGTCTGTCTGTCTGGGTGTCTGACTGTCTGTCGGTCTGTCTATTATATGTGTGTAGGTATGTAAGTGTGTATGTACATTTCTGGACAATCAATTATGTATTTGTTTGTTGGCTCTTATATGCATGTACTTACCTAACGATCTATCGACCTATCTGTTTATATTTGTATTTTATCGATGTGTATATCTATATCTAAAATATCTCCATCGGCGTATCTATATGTATGGAAGAGCATTCAGTCGGATATCCTTACCTTCCACACTCCAAGCCTCAAGCCCACGCCGGACAACCGAAACCTTGCAGCAGAAGATCCTCGAAACACCAGAAACTAGCACCTGAACCCTAAACCCCCAGGCCCTAAACCCCTTGAGCCCTACTTGGAGGTTGATGGGTAGTTGTAAGTAGGGTTATAAGTCCCCTAGTAGGAGTTGTAAGTATAGTTATCCTACTTATAACCCCACTTATAACTACCCACGAACCTCCTATTAAAGAAAGCACCTACACCCCAGAAGCAAGACACACACAGGGCAGCACAGATGGAGCTAACTATAGATAGCCCCGCCGCCGTCGGGAGGGGGGTCAAAAAAGAAATCAAAAAAGGATCAACAAAAAAATTAGAAAGGATCAAAAACAAATTTAGAAAGGATCAAAAACAAATTTAGAAAGGATCAAAAAGAAATTTAGCGTTTACGAGGTAAATTGCCTGTTTCCTCGCTTGACAGCCTTCGGCTTCTGGGCTCTTGGCTTCTGTGCTGCCTGGCTCCGCGGCTTTTTTTGGCTTCTGGGCTCCGTTGGCTTTCTGGCTTCTCGGCTTCTTGGGTTCCTGGCTTCTTGGCTTCCGGGCGGCTTGGCTTCTTGGCTGCTTGGCTTCTTGGCTTCCTGCCTTCTTGGCTTCCGGGCGGCTTGGCTTCTTGGCTGCTTGGCTTCTAGGCTTCCTTGCCGGCTTCTTAGCTTCTTGGCTTCTTGGCTTCGGTACGCTCCGCTTTTTACTGCTTTCTTGGCTTGTTGTTTTTGCGTTCGTTTTCTGTCTTGTTGTGCTTCTTGCTTGTATATACACACGTACACGCCTACATGCATACACACCGACCTGCACTTGTTCTTGCTCACGCTCTGCTTTTGTGTTTGTTAGTCTTCGCATGTGCTTTTCCATTGTCGTACTACGTTCCTCGGAGTTGTGGAGACGCCGACAATACTGCAGACTCTTGTCTCCTTTTTGTATTGTGTCTATTCTTTCTCTCAGTTCTAGTCTCATGATTTGATTACAAAAAATGGTTTTGTTCATACTGTCTTATAGTCTGTTAGTGTTATTACAATCATGTGATTTGTATGTTATCATCTTTTCCTATGAGTATCATTATGAATATTCTGAGTACTTTTGTTACTAGTAGCAGTATACACACATACATACATAAATGAAAAAATGTAAATCTATATATATATATATAATATATATATATATATATATATAGCTATACACATATCTGTGGTAAGCCCGTGTATTTATACAATAATAGAAACCATAGACCAGCATGTAGCACAACTACAGTATCTCCGTCGCGCAAACCTCAGATCTCCGAGCTGCCACTGGTAGGGGAGGCGCCGTGGTAGGAAGGGTGGGTGGCAGCGACGAGCTGGGGGCGACCACGCGGAGATATTGGAATAGCACTTGCCGTTGTTTGCAGCAAATCTCCAATCCCTAAATTTGTTTTTGATCCTTCCTAGATTTGTTCTTGATCCGTTCAGCCTAAATGTGTTTTTGGTCCTTTTTAAATTTTTTGTTTGATCCTCCACCCGCCGCCGTCTGACCTGAGAAGTGTTAGCCTGACGGAACCCATTAAATCTCTTAAATCCCCGTAAAGCCTTTGCGACACAAGAAACGCACAACTGCACATGCACACCGAAAGCTGAATCGAGAAACCTGAACACACCTACCATCCCTTAAACTCCCCTGCGAAACCTTAGCCAAAACGCCCAATTACAAGCCCTTATACGCCCGTAAGCAACGCCAAGTACGCCATGAAATAACAAGCCTTCCCCGGTCCCCCCAAAAAAACAAACAACAACCATACACCCCCCCATCAGAATCCTGCAAAACCTCTTCAAGGGAGTCGCAGATGTGGTGGAAGCAAGACCAAAGATGTAGCGATCCGTCTTGGGCCAGCCAGGCCAGGTTTTGGGTTTTGGGTTTAGGGTTTTGGGTTTTGGGTTTAGGGTTTAGAGTTGTGGGTTAAGGGTTAAGGGTTTAGGGTTTTGGGTTTAGGGGGATTGGGTTGGGTACTGCCCCCACTCAGTAACAGTTGGATAATATTAATACTATAGACATATTAGGACCTAAATAGTAGCCCTATTATAGACTGTTACTGTATGGGGGCAGTACCCAAGGTTTAGGGATTGTTGTTCTTTCTACTGCCCACTAGCTGAGCAGGTAACCTTTAACCTTTCGGGGTTAAGACTAGCCCTGTGCTTTAAAGTTATCATGCCCACGATGGTTAGCGTTGATATGACGCTTGTTGTTGCTACGTTGTTACTGTTATCGTGATGATGATTTCCATTATTATTGTTGTTTACATTGGTTCTTGTGCTGGTGTTCATATTTGTATTCGCATGCTTAGGGCTGCTCCGAGTGTTGTTGATCTTATCAAACTCTCATTGATATCATGGTTGTTTGTGGTTATCTTGTTATAGTTTACACTTTGTCGTTGCCAGTTTAGCATGTTTGTTGCGATTATCCATCTCGCTAGGTATGTTGGTGGTGGTCGCAGTAGCAGTAATAGCAGTAGTAGTCGCAGCAGGAATAGTTTTAAGTAGTCGTCGTCGTTGTTAACTAGTCGTGTCAGGGCAAGAACATGAACTTCTGCGGCGGCTTCTTCCGGAACTGGACCATCGCGGCAGCTACACTTCTCGCAAGAAGATCGGGTTTCTGACTTGGGGGTCGTTCCTGTCTTTCTTCGGGCATGCCGCGGTTAGTGACTATCGTATAACAATGTCTAACATTATCGCGCCAAACGGGGCTGTGATGCCTCGATGTTGTCAGCACTTCGCAATCCATTGCTGACCCATCGTGCATTTTCATCGCTCGCAACAGCCTTCGCAGGTTTCTTCCGCCGCAGAAGAGAAGTAGTCTGTGAATTCGGAGGACGGGCTGTAACACGTAAGAAGTAAGCCCTACTGTAAAAACACATAGGCCCCTGCATCCTCCGAAACGCAAGGATGCTTTAAGGCATCATATAAGGGATTTTTTCTATGTTTTGGGTTCAGGGTCGAGGGCCTCGACAACGTCCGATGCAGGTATTGTGCCTTCGGCTATACAATTCTCACAAACCTGGGCTTGAACCTTATTTGGGGATCCTTACAAATGAGGTCCCCTTTGATTCCCCTGATGCACCCCGGGAGCGAAGACTTGAAGCCACCGACCCCAAAGCCTAAAGCCTTGGACCTTAGACACTGCCTATAGTCTCCATTGTAGTTCCTTTTTTTGGTTTAACCAATTTTTTGTTAAGGATCCTAAACGGTAACCCCCAAAAAAAGACTACAATGGAGACTATAGGTGAACCCTGATACGTAACAGCCTTCTATCCCTCAAGTTTCTAGACGGAGAACCCTGCAACAGCTTAAGCCCTGAGTCCTTGGGTCTTGAGGTTGTAGCTCTCTTGCTCAGTATGACGCATTCGTGGCTCTCGGGGCTCGTGGTTAAGAAGCTCAACTCTGTGATCAAGCTCATGGGGAAGCAGCTCGGTTCCAGACGTGTTTCCTTTTTTGTTTTTTATTATTTATTTATGTTCATATGTTTTTGTTTGTTTGTTTTTTGAGGGGGGATGGGCCGCTTTTAGTGTGGTTTAGATTTCAAAACCGGGAAGTTGACGGCCTAGGATAGTGAATTCCAGTATTCATCAGAAATTGGTCGTGCGAAGGAGTGCTTTGTTGCAGGGAGTTTGATACTTTTAAACCTTAAACCCTAAATCCTAAACCCCTAAACCCCTAAACCCTGAGGGAACGAGGCTCCCCCTAAACCCTCAACCGATGGTGTCCAGCTCTCCCTGTGGGACTCTTGGGCCTGCCAGTTGGTGGTTGTGGGCTACGATAGAGGGGCCTACATACTTACCTATACTTTTTTTTTTTCGGGGGGGGGGGTTCCTTGTTTTAACTATATAATTAAGGCCCCTATAGTAGCGTTCACGATTTAGGTGAATGTAGGGATGATGTCGCACAGATGATAGACGGAAAGAAAGCACTTTGTCGCTGTGGAACATGGCCGAGCTTTATTGCGTAAGGTTTTGGGCCTATGGCCTAGGGTTTGGAGCTTATGCGGTTTCAGGTTTAGAGTTTGGGGTTTAGGGTTTAAAGGGTTTAGGGTTTACTTGCAGGGTTTGAGGGGGTTCGGGTTAGGTGCCAAGGGGAGTGCTTTTGGGCCAACCATGTGGGGTCGCACTCGACGCTGCTCTCGTTTTTTCAAGGAGTCGGGTTCCTTCCTGCTTGTTCCTCACTTCTGGCATCCCAACCAAAACCTGCAGAGATCAAAATGACGGTGGGACTGCACCGCATGAGCCAGGGACAAGGCTCCTTCATCCCCAACCCTAGATTGCGGATAAACGTCCAGGTGTGCATCCTTGGTCGCTTGGTTGCAAAAGCAGTTGTCATTGGGCCTAACCCCTAAACCATTCACTAAAACCATACAGAATGAGCCGACACCAGGCCCAAGACTTCACTTCGGCTCAACATAGCACAACTCTGATTGTGGTATAGCCGGAAGGTCCAAAATCCTCATATTCTTACTCTTGTGCTTTTGGGTATTCGACTTGGGGGGGTGCTCAGCTTTGTAAGCCTTCTGGAGTCATATTCTAGGTCAGTTGTTTTGGGGCTTAAGGATGTAGGGTTTAGGATTTAAGGCCTTGTGGGGGTTTTTGGGCTTCGAGTTTTATAGGGCTTGGGTGAGGCTCGTAGCTTCCCCCCATGGTTTTGACGTTTATCTGGTTTTGATCGGTTGGTTCACAAGGGCTTGAGTTAAGTCGTGCTCTAAACCCTCAACCCTAACCCCACCCTAAACCCCTAAGCCCTAAACCGGGCTGCCAGTGGTAAGTAGAAACACCGGCCTGTGCAAAGAGAGAAACCCAAAGGCTCCGTGTACGCACATCGTATATACTTAGGTCTTAAAGTACCTATATAGGGACCCTTCTAAGGCTTAAGTATCTACTCTAAAAGTACATGGAGCCTTTGGGAAACGATGCAAGCTCTCTGGAGGCCCTCGTCTTCTTTGTCGGTGACTGCTGGCTACTGCGAAAGCAGGACCATCTTCGTAGGTTCCTGGTTTTAGGGTTTAGGGTTTAGAGTTCTGAGAAGTATCCTTTTAAAGGGCTCCTCTAAGGGTTCGATAAGGGGTCTATACTGTGGGGGTTTAGGGTCAACGAGGTTCCTGAGAAGTACCCTTTTTGGTTTGGGGTCCCCTCACGAACACCGAATGGTAGGAACAAGCGTACCCTTACTATAAAGGGACTAGTCAGGAACTTAGATTTGTTGTGCTGAAAATCTGCAGTGTCGCCTAGCTCTGCAGCCGAAGACCTACAATCCTGAGCTGAATCGATCTGAACTTTAGATCCTGCTTGGAGGTTAGAAGGGCCCCTTCAAAGGGATCTATAGGGTTTCTATAAGGGTCTAGGGTTTAGGGCCTACTTGGAGGTTCATGGGTAGTTATAAGTGGGATTATAGGTAGGGTAACTATAGCCGTTATAACTAATATTAGGGGACTTATAACCCTACTTATACCTACCCATGAACCTGCAAGGCGCAAAAAAGTCTTGCAACCCTGAGAAGGCCAGGAGCTCAAGACCGAGCTTAAGCCTAAGCCGTGACTCGATATGATGGGACTTCTGCCAGAACTTGCAGTGGTAGCCTAGTGGGAGCTTCAAAAGATACAAAGTTGTAAAACATAGACCATCTATATACCCCTCTTGTAGAACCTTTCGCAGTGTCTTAAAGGGGCCATACAGAAAAAACCCTCCTCTGCGTTCCTTCAGTGAGGTCTTAGTTAGAAGCGACATGGCCAATCCTTTTTTCCACGAGACTTTCTGCAGTATCCGAACAGGGGCAACTTTCTATACACTGACGTAAACACTGTAAATACAAAATACGGTGGTAGTGGGTGCATGTCAGTTGCCAGCAAGGTAACGCTCGCAATCAGGGTGTCCGGTCAACATACATGGGAGTTATCGAAAATAGGGGTGCCTTAATTATCTTGGAGTCCTTATTACAAGGATCCGACTAGCTAGGGTAATATATCAGGGTCCCCTGCTTTCGGAAATTCCCACATCAGTGACGACAACACTTCCGCTATTCTGTTGCTCAGCAATCTTATCGCACGGAATCTCAAGACACCACCCCACCGGGACCCGGGCCCTTTGGGGGCCCTTAAAACTTTCCTACCAGTAGAGTGTAGGGTTTGTATATTAAGAACTGTTACGATCATGATTCCGGCTTTTTTGTTTCTGTTAGTCATTATCCATAATAATACGGGGAAGTTTCCCGCACATTTAGGACCTTGAGCTAAAGGACGACCGTGACCTTCTGCAGGATCCACCTGTCCTCTGCATGATTGCGGCATTGATGGTCATGACCGGAACCTTCACCTTCATGCACCTGGGTGTTGATTTAGGGTTCAGGCTTTAGGGTTTAATGTGGGTGTTGTTCAAGACCACTCGGTGTGAACCCAACACCAAGCCCTAAACCCAAGAACTGCCCAACTCCTTGTCCCCAACGCTATAACCTTCATACCAAGAGGATCCTGGGACTTGGTAACTAGGGTCATAATTAAGGTAACTATACTTATAACTATTATTTATAACGCCAATTAAGGTACTTGTTTCCTGACTTACTAAGTCCCATGATCCTCCAAGTACCTTTTCACTGGTTTGCTTCATTTGGGGCCGCAATTCAAATGTTTGATGTCGTCAAGCCACGCCAAACTGGGCCAAACCTAAGCAAGCTTTTTGAGTTCAGAACACTTATATTCTGTATATAAAACCCTTCTCTACAGCTGCCCTGTGTAACAGAACACCCCATCTAGCAGAAGACCCTGCTTGACAGAAGACCTAGGTACGCATGCAGACACATGACAAACCCATCGGCGGCCATGAATTACACTATCTCCGACCCCAAGCACCTGAACCTCTAAACCCGACTCCGTGAGTAGAATATACCTTCATAGAAGGATAGATAGATAGTTTCAGGGTAGTGTGGAGAAGCTTTTGACCACGAGAGCAGCAAGATCCCAACGGCCCTAAAGTTTAAGCTACGCCCGTGTAGATACAAACATATATATATATATATATATATACATATACACACACATATGTAGGTGCCCGAATAATTTCCGTTCCTAGTTGGGTGCACCCCTGAACATTGAAACACTGAACCCTATGGTTTATCATAGACACCCAGCGCCATACTCCAACCATTAAGGCTCCCAAAACCTTGCAGATATTGGAGAAGGGCCAAATAAAGCACGCAATGTAGACCCAAAGCTTAAAATTGGCCCTAAGCCTTTTATAATATATACTATGCCCCAGACCCTGTGTGCCCTTTCCCGAGATCCGTAGACTAGCTCCCGGCTCCCACCTGTCGAAGCCTGCCTGGTTCAGGGCTCAGGGGTTGAAGGGTCCTAGGGCCCTAAAGCCTACATGCCCTGACCTTTGTCCCCGGAACCTTACGGCAAAACCCCATACCCTGACTACTACCCGCAAAACCCCATACCCTGACTACTAACACCGCCCTAAACCTTCTAAACCCTAAACCCCTAAACCCCTAAACCCTAAACCCCGAACTGTGCCAAGGAACATCAAGCCGCCAAAGAAGGAGACAGAGACCGCTCCTCCAGCCGCTCCCGCCTCCGGCAGTTCCCCACCGGCAGGGGCATCTTGTCTCTTAAGGACAGGAATTGCAGCTAAGCACCATGTGTGTGTGTGTGAGCGTGCGTCTGTGTGTCTGTGTATATGTCTGTACATGTACATGTTATATATATATATATATAAATCAGTATTTATAAAATATATATATATATATATATATATGTATACATACGTGTGTGCGTATATACCTCATCTGCTCATCTGCATGTTATGTGTATGTATATGCGGATGCAGATGTAGATGTATATGTTCATATGAGTGTATGTATGTACTATGCACGTATGTACATATGTATGTTTGTTTGCATACGCATACATGTATGTGCGTATGCGCGTCTACTGCTGGGCACATAAGTATATTGTGCACTTAAGTACATCACAATAATGAGCATGTTCCGAGATGAGAGGAATAGAGTCTTATCGCCACTTCTCTCAAGCCACATCGACTGTTTGGTTTAGTGTGTTTTTGCTGTGCTCCGAGTGTTTTGCAGTTGGCATTTGTCGAATTCGGTAGCTTAGAAACAGCCGCGGTAGATCTGGATGCGTCGCGATGTGCAGGCTTGCACTCCTATCACGGATGTTAACATCCGCTTGAAAATACCCAACGAGGAGGCCGGTGTCGCCAGCTAGGAATTGTTCAGCAACCCTCGGCTATTCAAATTGCTGATGTATGTAGGGTACAAACAAACACACACACACACACAGAGACATGGAGTTTTGTTTTTGACACTCCAAAGTTCTAAAGATGAGAGGGTCAGCTATGAACTCTCTTCGAACTCGCAGTGGCTTGCAGTACTCGGGTTTACTCTTGTAGAAATTTTCATTGGGCGGCCAAAGCAGCAATTTTAGTGTGGGTCTTCCAAAACGTGGACGACGGCAGGTTCATGGTAGGGCCTACACAGTGCCTGCCGGGGTTTCATGGTGTTTGACGTTAGGGCTTCAGGGCGACGAGCCAAGGACACAGAGATGGCCAGCCGCAGCTAATGCAGGAGCCGGACAAAGGGAGCTGATGACTTACCTTCGGTTAGGGAATGGAGAAATGGGGTACAATTATAACTACTATTACTACCATTCCTCCATTCCCTACTAACCAAAGGTGAGATGACGTTCCGGGCTCTGGGTTTAGGACTCTGGGAAGTTAGGATTTGTGATAGATGCGGGTGTGGGTTTCCACTGGTACCTTAAACTCCTGGGCAGCGAATTTTCCGCGGATCTCTGGCCAAGCATCTTGTCTTGCTGACATTCTTGCCGGATTCATTTGCAGTTTCTGCTTGGAAAGTTCGTAAGACTCTTGCGTTCACCACTTCGCAGGCTGGCGCACAAATCGCACCAACATCCTCTTGCGAGGTCAGCTGACAAGTCTGCGGGCCATGACATCAGCGAAATCCGCACACAGCTTGCCCACAAACTTACCTTTGGTTAGTAGGGAATGGAGGAATGGGGTACAATTATAACTACTATTACTACCATTCTTCCCTAAACCCTCAACTACGATTACTACCATGCTTCCATTCCCGACAAACCAAAGGTGAGCAAAGCCAAAAGAGACCCAATGTACACAGCAGAACAGAGTTCTCGACAAGGCGCTTTGAAAGGCTGCCTACTTGGAGGTTCATGGGACTGAGTAAGTAAGGTTATAAGTACCTTAATTGGGGTTATAATTGTAGTTATAAGTACACCTAATTATGACCCTAGTTACTAAATCCCATGATCCTTCAAGTAATACCAGGCTATGGGTCTTGAGTGTCAGGCAGACCTGCAATACATGTGTTTTCATACCTGGAAGTGCATCGTAGATGTTTGCATAGACGTAAACACGTGAATGTCCAGCTGTCTGCCTATCCGCCCAAAGTGCAGCGCATCTAGCTATGCATCCACCTGTGAGCACCTTCTTCGCATATCAGTTTTTACATGTATACAGACGTATACCTCTGTAGATGCATAGACATGACGGTACATGCAGATACACATGTGGATGGGTGCGTATGCATGCACGTATGTCTGTATGTATGTGCATACATACGTATCTATATGTGTATATTATATCCACACATGTATGAATGCATGCATGCGTGCATGTACGTATGTGTGTCCTTACGTATGCATGTACGACGTATGTATTTATGCATCCGTGTGTACATAATAGTAAACATATGTACATACATACATACATACATACATACATACATACATATAGTTACACATACATACATCACGCGCCTGCAGTGCACTTATCGTTATTCATCAGTACTCCCTCAGCCCGAAAGCCCTACAGCCCCTTAGAGCATCAACTCGGGAGTTGGAGTTCAGGATTGATTTTTTGGAGGGCTTACACAATATTTTGCAGCGTTTAGGGCTCAAAATCTAGCGTTCAGGGTGTGTCATAGCCTTGTCCTTAGCGCCGCTGTAGAGCTTCAGCTAGCAACAGCCGTAGAATCGCTATCTGAGCTGCACGGATGTAGGTTTAGGGTTTTGGGGTTTGGTTTGGGTTTTGGGATCCTGCTGAGCCCAAGCCCTTAAACCCTAAACCGTAACTCTGCATTGGGGTCGGGGAGTGTTGAGCACGGTTTCGGGAGATGTTCCATAATGAGGGATCCCGAAGATAGAACCTGCATAGTAGGGTCCTTTCCAAGGATGTCTACATAAAGTGGTTCTATAAGCTTCAGATATCCCCATATATCCCAAAGGTCTTTGCCGGGCATCACGACACTGTGCACTCAATTGATTCATTCTGTGCTATTGCTTGTCCCTCCGCCCGTGAGAAAAAGTCTGCTGCTCCAATGTCTGTTTCTTCTGATTCAGCTTGGGGCTCCCCTAAACCCTACACCCCTAAACCCCTAAACCCTAAACCCTAAAGCAAGCTAAGCCGCAAAGGCCTAAGCCTCCTACCCTAAACCCCTTAACCCATGAGCGCATCAACCCTAAAGGTCGTGCCCTTCGGGCTTGTGTGATTCGCAAGATTTGCTTAAACCCTAAACCCTAAACCGCCTAAGCCCCAACCCATACACCCTAAAGCCTAAACCGGGACCAGGAGGGTTGGAACTGAATTTCGAGGTCGACGGATTACGGCTCAGGGTTTAACCAAGAAGCTCATGGCTTGCGGCAGCTACGGCTGATGATGTAAATCCTGCATTATGTACTTTAAAGACCCTAAACTATGGAAACTATGGTATATTCCTTATTATGGGTAATGCATGGTTTATATCATCAAGCGAAGTAATCATACATACTCCCCCACGTACTAGCCTACACGTCCACTCACTCTCGCCAAGTCGCAAGCCCCTTTCTACCCCAACATCTTCAAACTGTATACATCCTCGAAGCACATTTCCTTCGCTGATATAGTTGTATGTGAACCTGCAGCGAAGCCGTGTTCGCAGTAGACTTGACCCGCACCTAGCCCAGCAGCTGCCCTGGACCCCCAACTACTCTCCATTATACCTTAGATACCCACCATGAAGGACCATAAGGGCTCTGTTAAAGCCAACTACACTTTATTGTACCTTAAGTACCCACCATTAAGGACAAAAAGGGCTCTGTTAAAGGGCACTTGAGGGGTCCTGGGTCGACAGGCCGCACCGTTGCCTTCGAATCCGACACTCCCAGAACTCGAGCTTTCCCAGCTTTCTGGGCTTAGGGTTTAGGGTTTTGGGTTTAGGGTTTAGGGTTTAGGGGCAAGTACCTGAGAAACTATGGTTGTAAAGAAGGCAACTGCAGCAAGACTTATGTTTGACTCGAGATATTTTTGTACTCAATCAGACAAGACCGTTCGTGATCAAGAGACATCAACTTCCTAGGCAGAAGCGAGTTGCTCGAGCTCTTCACGAGGCTTGTTTGTTTTTGCTTGGGGTTTGAGTTTAGGGTTTAGAGTTCGCACTTAGGGGTCTAGGGATGTGTAGAGTAGAGTTTGAGGTGTTTCTGAAACCCTAAACCCTAAACCCTAAACCCTAAACCCTAAACCCTAAACCCTAAACCCTAAACCCTAAACCCTAAACGACACTTTCGGCGGTCCTTGGGGTTTCAATATCTGGTGGTCTGGGATGGAGCTCAAGGACACCGCAAAGAATCTACGATTTGATCGTGTTCAGTACGTTGGGTGTATTATTTAATCCCATACTCTTCGAAACCCTAAATCGTGATCAGTATTCCTGAGGCCCTTGGGGTTGCCAACTGTTCTCACACCGAAGAGATCAGACTCCTAGTTCATTTCGTGTGCTGACACTGGACAGCTTAAGGATCTGTGTGCGTTGTGCATTGGGAGTATTGTTTTTTTCTGCGATTGCGCTTGTCTGCTCTTCAGTTACGTTGATGTGTATTAGGTGGGGGAACCCCGTGTCTCTATTGTACATTGGCGAAGCCCACGAAGTTACTGGGACTCCCGACATTTCGTTTTAGGGGCATGAGGATAACAATGTTCCAACTTAATGGCTTCCATTGCAGTACACCTCTACCTAACACCCTAAGCCCAAAAAAACCGAAGACCCTAAACGCCTATACCCGAAGCCCTAAACCGATGCCGTGCGCTTGGGAGCCCGACAGAGGCCTTTGGTGGCGAGATGGAACTGCAGGGCGCACTGCTGAGGCGGCCCTTGTGGTTGGGTGTAAGGTGTATGATAGGCACCGTTCAGGGTTTAGGGTTTAGGGGTTTGGGAGTTTAGTAGTTTTTTTTTGTTGGGGGGGGGGTGGGAGGCGTTGGGGGTTTAGGGTTTCAGGGTTTAGGGGTTATTTGGGGTTTATTGTATGCTATGTTGTCTGCTTTCAGGACAGTTCCTACCGGGGCTAGGCGATGGGATTTGGGCTTTTGGATTTAACGTTGTCTTAAGATATGGGATGCAGGGCGTTGGGGCCTGCAGGGGGGGAGGCCAGCATAATAAGCAAGGAGCCCCCGAACCCTTAACTCAAACCCTAGAACATATCATAGCAGCCTCAAGCCCCAGCTTATCTCCACCCCCCAGACCCCCAAACAGGAGAGTCATCGTGTACCTTGTTAAGGACATATACAAGGAAATTAATTAGGAACCTTAAAAAAGGTAGGTTCTTCAGGGTTAATGTAAACTCTAGACCTGAAGCCCTACGTAGCATGCACAAGCGACATAATAGGAAGCCCCGTTCAGGCAGGTTCGGCTCCCAGCCTCAACCGGCCCTGAGCAGATGCAGCCAGGGCCACAAGAACTTGACGGGTCGTTTCAGATTTGACGGTTTAGGTTGTTGGGGTGTCGAGGTTTTGGTTTAGGGATCTAGGGCAGTGCTGCCGCCGAAACTTATGCCACAGCTTATGCTCAAAATCAAAATCAAAGCAACGACCCTCCAACTACACCAAAATTCAAATCCAAAGGTCCCATCCTGGAACTTATGCCAAAGCCCAAACCGAAGCAACCACCCGAAACACCAGAGAAAAATTTAAAAACCAAGCCAGCCGCCCTCTCTTCTGCACTAACTAATGCTTTTTTTGCACATTAACCTCAACATCGTCCCCCGCTTCTACTTCAAGATAAATGGTATATGCGGTTCTGTCAGCTTAAATAGCTTTATTTAGTTTAACTTTAAAGTGCGTTGTTTTGTGCCCTTCTAATGGGGTCACTGTTGTCGCCGACGGAACCATTAGATTGTTGTATGTTGCGCTATCCACTGTACCTTTTGCTTGCAATTTCTCTCCTGCTTCAACCCGCTTAAACAGCATGTTTTTGTAGGTACTTGCAAGCGCTCCGCAATCGCCGGATGCTCTTCTGCGTATCTCAATACCTTCTCCGGTTCAATATTCGACTGTTTTACTATACAAACTCCCTTTCTCCTCGCTGTAAGGGCTAAAGGGCCCTTACAAGTCTTCAAGCCACCCCTCGCAATGTAAGATTCATGCATGCTTTGCACTGAAAAGCCCTGAACACCCTTTAAAACCCGAAACATTCTGACCTAAACCCCTAAACCAAATAAACCCTTGAAGGAGTTGGTCCAGGCCGACATCCTCCGTAAACCACAAATCAACC